AAACTTTTCTTGACATCTTAATTTTTTGCACTTAATTTATCCTGGCCCTCACCAATATTTAATCCTAGTTTAAAACTTCCTTTACGGCTGAGTTAACAGCCATTGCAAACAAGCCAGTCCCTACACTGTTTAAATACAAACCATCCATCCCAAAATGTTCCCTTCTCCCACTAAACTGATCCCGCAAGTCCAACCAGCCAATCTGCTAGCCTTATATATTAACCTAAGCCTAGGATTTAGCTATAGTAACCTACTTATAATTTCATCCTCACAATTAATTCCAGGCAATATCCCTGACACAATTAACTCATTGATTGCTGACCCTCACCGTATAGGGTACAGTCCGCCTCAAGCAATTGAATGCTAGTGTGCCATATACGGGAAAGCAGCCACAATCAATAGGTTAAGTTATGGCCTTTTTCTTTAAATGCTTTTATCAGCCCCTTGTACTTATTAATTAGTTACTCTGACATACCTTTCCCTGCATCATTAGCTCCTACGTGCACAATAAAAACTGCATCATTGCTAGCTCCTTTTAATATATCATTTGCTCTGTCAGTTATATCCTCCACCTGTACCCTTGGGTAGTTTAACCTTATTCTTTTCTCCCTGTTTATCCCAGAGACTATTTTAGTCCCATGCCTTGTCAAAGAATCACCTATAACTATAACATTAAGTTCATCATCCACATCCTTCTCTGTCCCTTTTGTTTTCCTTCCCTCCAATAGTTCCTCATCTACACAAGTTAAGGGTTGAAATATATTGCTCAATATAATTAAATCGACTACTTTTAGCCCTAATAGCACTGTTTGTAACTTCCCGAAAGACATTCTTAGCTGATGTGTCCCTTGCATGTAAAAGCTTAAGCTCCTTCTGAAATTCTGCTGCTATTTCCCACAATTTACACTTCTATTTATCTATTGCCTCTACTTTAATTGGATATTCTCCATCTTCTCCTCCAGTCTACAAAATCTACAAAAAAAAATTGCACATATTCATTGTTAGCTTCCTTAAAAGTACATATTAGTTCCGAATTCCCTAGTAAAACCCATTCACTACATCCATCACACCTAAGAAACTGGGAACGCTTAACTCCTACACTAGTTTTAACCATTGTATTTGTAGTCTGGGAATAAATACTTAAAGCTAAATACCAGCAGCCCATGACAACACTGTTAAGCCT